TGTCAGCTGCTGCTGCTGCTGCTGTAGCACCGTCAGCTGCTGCTGCTGCTGTACCACCGTCAGCTGCTGCTGTAGTACCATCAGCTGCTGCTGCTGCTGTACCACCGTCAGCTGCTGCTGCTGCTGTAGTACCGTCTACTGCTGCTGTAGCACCATCTGCTGCTGTAGCACTGTCAGCTGCTGCTGTAGCACTGTCAGCTGCTGCTGCTGCTGCGGTAGCACTGTCAGCTGCTGCTGCTGCTACTGTAGCACTGTCAGCTGCTGCTGCTGTAGCACCGTTGCTGGTGTGGCTTATTGAGAATACCAAGAAACAATTAACCCCAGAGGGTTAGCCACCCAGGATAACCCAAAAAAGTCAGTGTCATTGAAGACTGTCTAACTTATTTCCATTGGGGTCCTTAATCTTGTCTCCCAGGATGCAACCCACACCAGTCGACTAACACCCAGGTGAACAGGGAAAAATGCCTGGAACTAGTGCTCATATTGGTGAATTTAAAGCCAGCAAAGGTTGGTTTGAGAGATTTAAGAATCGTAGTGGCATACACAGTGTGATAAGGCCTGTTCTGGAAGAAAATGCCAAACAGGACCTACAGTACTCAGGAGGAAAAGGCACTCCCAGGACACAGTGTCTCATCAGTCATTGCTGCATCTTCAATAAAGGTAAGTGTCATTTATTCTTCATTTAGTAGAGTAGTACATGCACAACATATATTGTGCATGTACTACTCTACTATTGTGCATGTATCCTTCTCTTTGTGTGTAGGAAAATGTATATTTCATGTGGTAAATTTTTTTTTTTTCATACTTTTGGGTGTCTTGCACGGATTAATTTGATTTCAATTATTTCTTATGGGGAAAATTCATTCGCATAACGATAATTTCGCATAACAATGAGCTCTGAGGAACGGATTAATATCGTTATGGGGGGGTCCACTGTATTTATAACATTATTCAAGCTGCTTAATTTTTCATTCTGTTGAAGGTAAAAGAAAATACACACAGTAGGGCCCCACTTATATGGCAGGTTAGGTTCCAGGATGCCGCTGTAAAGCAGAAATCGCTGTAAAGTAGAACACTTTTTTTCCACTTATAAATGCATATAAATACTAGATAACAAGTTTACACTAACATATATTACATTAGCAATAGAACTAGGCATTAAAAACAATAAAAAAGTAAAATACACACATGGTACACTCATTACTTACCTTAAAATATTTCTAGTCTTAATCTAGGGTGAGATGAGTAGTATTTATTGTAAGAAATCAAGTGTGGTATGTATGGTAGCCAGCCAGGCTACCCTACCCACACATAATATTGTATGACATTTAAGCATCCCAGAGTGATAAAATGCATATACAGTTCACTCATTACTTACCTTAAAATATTTGTATTCTTAATGTAGGGTCAGAGGTGAGTAAATGAGATAAAACAAATAAATGAGAGAGAGAATAAGTACATGAGAGAGGGCACTCGTGGAGTTATGTAAACAAACCAGACGAATGCAAGTTATGTAAACAAACCAGGTGAACACGTCTGGTTTGTGTACAAGTTGTCTCTACATTGATACGGTAGAATAAATAAAGAGGAACACTCCCATTCTCATGTAACACCATTTTTAGAAGAAATGATGCTCTGAGTGAAGGAATAGAAAAGGAATAATTTTCTACAGTTATGCCCAGTAACACATTTTCTCTTATGTTGGACTACAGAAAACATTATTCTTGCTGTCATTCGTACAAGTTGTCTGGCTACCACATCTTATACGTATTTATGTTTATTTATTCTACTGTGGGGTGTATTTATCATCTTTATATGTATCGTGTTTATTATATAATTTTGAAAAAATATCATAGATGGATTAATGAAAATGTGTGTATACATGTATTAGCGTAATATTTGACATTTAATGAGTTAAAAAGTTGAAAGCTGAAAGTGAACATAGAAAAGAGTAAGGTGATGAGAGTATCAAATGATTTAGATAAAGAAAAATTGGATATCAAACTGGAGAGGAAGAAGTGAATGTTTTCAAATATTTGAGAGTTGGCATGTCAGCGGATGGATTTATGAAGGATGAGGTTAATCATAGAATTGATGAAGGAAAAAAGGTGAGTGGTGCACTGAGGTATATATGGAGACAAAAAGCATTATCTATGGAGGCAAAGAAGGGAATGTATGAAAGTACAGTGGTACCAACACTCTTACACGGGTGTGAAGCTTGGGTTGTAAATGCTGCAGCGAGGAGACGGTTGGAGGCAGTGGAGATGTCCTGTCTAAGGGCAATGTGTGGTGCAAATATTATGCAGAAAATTCAGTGTGCTGAAATTAGGAGAAGGTGTGGAGTTAATAAAAGTATTAGTCAGAGGGCTGAAGAGGGGTTGTTGAGGTGGTTTGGTCATTTAGAGAGAATGGATCAAAGTAGAATGAAATGGAGAGCATATAAATCTGTAGGGAAAGGAAGGCAGGGTAGGGGTCATCCTCGAAAAGGTTGGAAGGAGGGGGTAAAGGAGGTTTTGTGGGCGAGGGGCTTGGACTTCCAGCAAGCGTGCATGAGCGTGTTAGATAGGAGTGAATGGAGATGAATGGTTTTGGGGACCTGACGAGCTGTTGGAGTGTGAGCAGGGTAATATTTAGTGAGGGGATTCAGGGAAACCGGTTATTTTTATATAGCCAGACTTGAGTCCTGGAAATGGGAAGTACAGTGCCTGCACTTTAAAGGAGGGGTTTGGGATATTGGCAGTTTGGAGGGATATGTTGTGTATCTTTATACGTACAGTATATGGTTCTAAATTGTTGTATTCTGAACACCTCTGCAAAAACAGTGATTATGTGTGAGTGAAGTGAAAGTGTTGAATGATGATGAAAGTATTTTCTTTTTGGGGATTTTCCTTCTTTTTTGGGTCACCCTGCCTCGGTGGGAGACAGCCGACTTGTTAAAAAAAAAAATTATTATCATTACTAATGTGGCTCTTGAGACACAAGACACTCTTACTGATTTTAATGTTTACCTGCACGCCAGCACAATGTGTAAGTTTATTTAGGTACATGTATACATAAGTATAATTATCAGAGTATATATAAAATATGAAATAACTTTTAAAAACACTTGAAATTTTGGAGTTTCCAGACATAATGGAGAGATGTAGTGCTTACAGAGCTTATGGAGAATGTAAACAAAAATGGTGGTGCGCAGTGACCGTATTAGAAAGTCAGGTTGGGGGGAGCCATATACAGAGTTTTGGTCATAATTTGAAATGACTGTATTAGCGAAATGCCGTAAAGCGAAACGCCATAAAGCGGGGCCCTACTGTATGAGGTCCCTGATTAATCCTTTGGGGGTTTTGGACGTACTAGTATGTCTTACAACCCAGGGTTTTTGACGTACTAGTATGCCTAAATTCTAGCACTCTCAAATCTAGTGAGAGAAAGCTGGTAGGCCTACATATGAAAGAATGGGTCTATGTGGTCAGTGTGCGCAGTATAAAAAAAATCCTGCAGCACACAGTGCGTAATGAGAAAAAAAAAAACTTTGACCGTGTTTTTGGATTAAAACAGCGACTTTGCACTGTATTTTCGTATGGTATTTATTGTTGTATTTTAGTTTTCTTGGTCTCATTTTATAGAATGGAAAACATATTACAGAAATTGAGATGATTTTGACTGGTTTTACAATGAAAAGTACCTTGAAATTGAGCTCAAAGTAGCAGAAATGTTCAATTTTTACCAAAGTTCAAAAGTAAACAAATCATGCCAAGTGTCCAATACACATCAACTGGTGAGTGTAATATTCTTTCACAAGTGCGCTGATATTATTTATACCATTTCTACAGTAATGCAGTAGTGTGCATAACAGTAAATCTTATTTTTTTTTGTAAGAATAAAAATCCAAAATGGAAAGCCAAAGAAATATAAGAGGGGCCTGGGGATGTGACTAACGAATAGAGAACTTGTTATTTTAGTGCCAGGAATGTCTTTCTTGTTTATTCTGGACCCTATTCAGAAATTGGCATCTTTTGAAATTTGTGTGAAATTGGCAAAACTGCTAAATTCTGACCACTTTATTGGATAGTTGAAATCGGTAAATGGGTGGTTTCTTGTACTCATTCGATAGAAAAAATGGAGTTCTAGCGAAATAGTTATGATTTTTGTCGACTAGTACACTAGAATTGGCCGAAAATAGGGTTCAAAGTGGGCAAAATCGCCGATGTGTAAACATTGTTGAGACCGGTAACTTCGCGAGAGCATAATTCCATAAGTTTTCCATCAAATTTCATAATTTTGGTGTCATTATGATTGGTAAACGATTCTCTATCTTTTCATAAGAAAAAATAATTTTTTTTTTTTTGAAATTTGGCAGACCCTGAGAACAAGTCTCTGAGAGGACCTGTCGACCCACCAAAGGGTTAAAATAAATTTAGCTAGCAATGATCCCCTAAATAGCTAAAAGGAAGTCATATTTCAAAGAAAACATTAAAATTAAGTGATTTGGTTTGGTCTAGTCCTTTAATAGGCATTAAAATAAACAAATATACATGTATTTGTATTGCTCCAAGGATATTACTCACAAATATGGCATATATCCCAAAATTATAAATATTTTCACATATACTGTACTGCATGCTGTACAGCTTTAGCTAATGTAAAAGCAATTTACTAATTAAAAAAGAAGCAAAATACACCTACCATCCGACTTACGACCGAGTTCGGTTCCGAGAAACCAGTCGTAAGTCGAACTTTACTACTGAATATCAACAAAACATTTTTGTAATGACTTTATTTTATTGTTTTATTTTGGTATTTCATGTTTTACTTTACTTTTTATGTTGTTAGTACTGTATTTTATACTGTAAGGTTTAGGATAAACACTGTGTACAACACAAATAGTTGTTTATTTCCCAAAAATTTGGCATAAAAAACACGGTCGTAAGTCGAGTGGTCGTAAGTTGAGCAGGTCGTAAGTCGGATGGTAGGTGTATAAGGAAATATAAGCCATTACTCACCTTCTAATTCAATTTCATAGCGGTGAGCAAGATAGAGAATGTTATCGCCTATCTTTCCCCTTACAGGAATTTTTTTACCATCTCGATTTACAAATGTTATGTTAACTCTGAAATTGCAAAAAATTTACTCTTGAGGGGATAAGGAAGAAAAAGTGATAAGAGCAGAAAATATAATAATTATATTATTATATTCATAAAAAGCACTAAACTCTTAAGGGTTATTCAGAGCCAAAAAATAGAGGTAAAAGAGATATGGAATCCCTTTTTGGCATCAATAAAGGATTCCACATAACTGTCCATATCACTGCAACTGTCTCTTTACCATGTTAAGTCAATGAAGGGGGTATCTTGAAATGAAACTGATGTGCACTCTGATGAAAAGGATAACTGGTTAAGACATGTTGAATGATGCAACAACCTGACAATTGTTGCAAAATGGCACCAGGTGGTTATACATATTTTTTAAAACAATATTGGTATCTGAATGAAATAAAAGGAAAATATGAACAATGAATGCCAATAAGTGTTTGTATTACAATTTTTTTTTTCAACAAACTGGCCATATCCCACCAAGGAAGGGTGACCTAAAAGGAAAAACAACAAAAGTTTCTCCTTTTAAATTTAATAATTTTTACAGAAGGAATTACTAGCCCTTTGCTCCCAGCATTTTAGATGCCTCTTACGACACGCATGGCTTACAGAGGAAGAATACTGTTCCACTTTCCCATGGAGATAAGAGAAAATAAACAAGAACTAGCAAGGAAATAGAAGAAAACCCAGAGGGGTGTGTATACATATGTTTGTACATGCATGTGTACTGTGACCTAATTGTAAGTAGAAATAGCAAGATGTAGCTCAAGCCTTGCATGTTAATGAGACAGAAAAAAGACACCAGCAATCCTACCATCATGTAAAGCAATTACCAGTTTCCATTTTACACTCACCTAGCAGGATGGTAGTACCTCCCTGGGCAGTTGCTGTCTACCAACCTACTACCTATGGTGTTACAAAATGTATGAATATAAAATGGAGGGCCAGATGGAGATACAGTGGACCCCCGGTTAACGATATTTTTTCACTCCAGAAGTATGTTCAGGTGCCAGTACTGACCGAATTTGTTCCCATAAGAAATATTGTGAAGTAGATTAGTCCATTTCAGACCCCCAAACATACACGTAGAAACGCACTTACATAAATACACTTACATAATTGGTCACATTCGGAGGTAATCGTTATGCGGGGGTCCACTGTATTATAAGGGTCTTCGTGTCTGGGTAATTAATTACTAATTAATATGATATTGTTAATTTTTGTATGAAATACTGCATTGTCAAGATAGCTGGTGTATAAATTGTGTCTAGCAAGGTTTGTGCAAGCTGGTTGTCCAACGACCTTTAATGAATTAAAACTATTATGATTCTGTAAAATCAAAAGAGCCAATTTATGCGTTGACAATTTAGCCCACTTTGAGTCCCATTTTAAGCCAATTCCATTGGTCCAATTGACCGAATTCTTAACTATTTCACTAGTATGCCTTCCAGTCTTAAAAGGGAGCACAAGAAACTGTTAATACAACTATTACAATTACCCTATCAAGTGCACAAAATTTGCTAAGTTGGCCAATTTTACACAAAATTAAAAAATACCAATATAGTCCAAAATAAACACTGTGGACTCTCCTAACACTAAAAAACATTTTCCCTGTTCATTATTCACACCCTCATGCCTCTTCTATATTACACTTGCCTTCCATATTGAATTCATACTCACACAAAAATTAGAAAATTTCCTCTATCTCTCGGATAATAAAATATAACCAGAAATGATTGGTCAATGTTTATAGTGTCCCAATAACTGAATCAGACCTATTGAAAACTCATAAAGCAGACCAGGGGGTGTAGAGGGGCCCTTACCCATTCTTAGTAAAATCAATAAAAATGACTGAATCATAATGCTAAGGACAATTTCTCTAAAAGCCATTTATATTTAAACTAGATGATTCAGATAAAGAACAAAGGTTTAAGAGATAATCTACAGTTATTAGGGGCTCTGGTGGCCTGGTGGTTAACGCTCTCGCTTCACACGACGAGGGCCTGGGTTCGATTCCCAGCCAGAGTAAACATTGGGCGTGTTTCTTTCCACCTGTTGTCTATGTTCCCCATCAGTAAAATGGGTACCTGGGTGTTAGTCGACTGGTATGGGTCACATCCTGGGACACTGACCTAATTTGCCCGACATGCGGAGCATAACAAGGTGCTTTCTATGTAATAGTTTGTCATTGTTGTCAGCTAGGCCTGTATACCATGTACATGTACTTGTAGTAAATAAAGATATTATTATTATTATTATTAAATGAGGGACTGGCAATGACATCACAAAAGCAATTTATATTTGAGGAAATATTAAATACAGGAATCTTTCTACATTCATAGGGAGTGAAACACTGTAGAATAAAAGTCACAATATTATAGCTAGAACAATTCACTATTAATCTAAAATTTGAAAAGGAAACTTAAGACATTTTAGTCCACATTCAACCACTATCAGCTGTAACTTGATAATGGTCTAGAACCAAATGAAATGTTGCCTAATGGATCTTCTGCAGACAGTGAGTTAATAAAGAAGTGAAACATTTCCTACTTACACCTCATCCTCTGATTTTGGATCTTGCCATTCATAATCTCCATGCTGGAAGGCTAGAATAAAAGAAAGCTTTAAGCACAAAAAATAGCAGTATATGAACTACTGTACTGGTATATGAGTATTTACATGTGTCACTGTCTCTTGTAACTTCTTAATGTACAGAGTAGTAAACATAAGTACTGTATCTGTGTGTGACTATTTCCTCATTTTCCTCCCTACATACATTTCTCACATCCTCTTTTTCTCCACTTCCTTCTTTTCCCTTCTAAACATGTCATCTTTCAACCTCATATTTTCTCTTCTCTATTCTCCCTTTCTATCTCTCCCTCTCCCCTTGAAAACTTGTATTTATGCTTTGGGTATACAACATACAAATTTTGTTTAAAATGGTTTTGAGAGTATACAGTTTGTATGAGAGAGAGAGAAATGAGGGAGGAGAGAGAGGGGAGGGGCGAAGGGGAGAGAAGAGGGGAGAGGAGAGAAAAAGAGGAAAAAGAGGGGAAAAGAGAGAGAGAAGAGAGAGAAAAAAGAGGAGAGAAAAAGAGAGAGGAGAAAAAAAAGGGGGGAAAAAAGAGGAGAGAAAAAGAGAGAGAAAAAAGAGGAAGAGAAAAAGAGAGAGAAAAAAGAGAGAGGAAAAAGAAGAGAGAGAGAAAAAGAGAGAGAGAAAAAAGAGAGAGAAAAAGAGAGAGAAAGAGAGAGGAAAAAGAGAGAGGAAAAAGAGAGGAGAAAAAGAGGAGAAAAAAGAGAGAGAGAAAAAAAAGAGAGAGGAGAAAAAGAAGAGAGAGAAAAAGAGAGAGAGAAAAAGAGAAGAGAAAAAGAGAGGGGAGAAGAGAGAGAGAAGAGAGAGAGAGAGAGAGAGAGAAGGGGAGAGAGAGAGAGAGAGAGAGAGAGAGAGAGAGAGAATGAATGGGAGGGTGTTGGCACCTGGAGAAGAAGTTGATATCCTTGGAGTGAAATTTGACTCCAAACTAACCATGAAGAACCATGTTGTAAATCTTGCAAACAAGGCAGCCATGAAGCTTATAGCACTTCGCTGTATCTCACATCTGCTTGACAGTAGGGGTTGCAAGATTCTGTACGAGGCACAAGTACGCTCACACTTGATTTATGCTCCACTTTTTTGGTTTGGGCCTGCCCCCCCTCTCATTTTGCGATGCTTGACAGAGTAGAGAAACAGAGCAAGACGTCTCATCTCTCGCCGGGGACCCATCCTGGATAGATCTGTCATTTCAGCAGGGGCCTTCAACATAGGAGAGATGTGGGTGGCCTTACTGTTATGTACAAGGCCAATATTGTCAAATTTACCACACTTGGATCCACTTCGAGGACAGCGTAAAACCCAAGCTTTTATGCCACAAGATGGGCAGAAAGCAGCAACTTCACTCTGGCTGTCCCCTTCTCCAGAACAGCACTCCAATTGAGATCATATATACCAGGATGACTCGACAAATGAAACACATTCATACAGCATAATGATGTCAACGAGATAAAGTCAGTTGATGAAAAAAAAAATGCTGGCCCACAGATGGCTCCAATTTTCATTCTGTTCCCCTACTTGTATGTCTCATAACAATAAAAATGCTTTCAAATGAGCTGATGTACGAAAACAGCTCTTAACTTGTCAATAAAGTTAGGAATCCTTAACCTGTAAATAGCTTGTCAATAAAGCTAGGGATTCTTAACCTTGTCAAACCCTGTGTAAAAAAAAAAAAAAAAAAGAGAGAGAGAGAGGAGAGAATATTTATATATATATATATTATTATAATATATATTATATATATATATTATATTATATATATATATATTTATATATATAACAGCGGGGGCCCCGCTTTATGGCGTTTCGCTTTACGGCGTTCCGCTAATATGGACATTTCAAATTATGACCAAAACTCGCTATACGGCTCCCCCCCACCTGTCTTTCTAATACGGTCACAGCGGCCCACCGGTTTGTTTCCATTCTCCCTGGCACATCTCCTTATTATGTCTGGAAACTTTCCAAAATTTTCAAGTGTTTTAAAGGTATTGTATATTTTATATGTATTGTACTTATAATTAAACTTGTGTACACCTGTACCTAAAATAAACTTACACACTGTGCTGGCATGTAGGTACACATTAAAATCACTAAGAGTCTCTCTACTCTTGATGCAATAATAATAATAATAATAATAATAATAGTAATAAATAATCTCTTGGGGCCCCTTAATGTGCATTCACGTTAATATAGACATTTCCCTTAATCTATCTATGATATTTTTTCAAAATTATATAACAAACACATTATGTAAACACACAAACATGATACATACCCCCCACAGTATAAAAATGTATCAAAATATATATGAGATGTTTACCAACGGTTTGTAGAAGTGTCGGAAGAATTAAAAGTTTTCTCTAGCCCGTCACCTGTTAATAGGGTAACTGTAGAAAAATATTCCTTTCGTATGCCTTCACTTTATAGCTACAATTCTGTACTAACTTGTACACAGTGTAAGAGTATTTGTTTCGTGATTTAATTATAATAATAATAAAAATATTATAAGGTAAAAGTTTCACAAACTCTTACAAATGTACATGAATTAACTAAAACTGGACACGTATTAATACTGTCTATTTCGCCTGACCGAGTGATCGTCCACAACCTGTTCAGTTTGTTTGTTTACGCTGTCTGAGCTCGATGTATCATCAAATGTTGTATTTATTTATTTATTTATTTATTTATTTAAAAATTTGAGCACACATACAGAGGTACAACAAATACAGGTAAGAGCAGTATGCCAAAGCCACTTATACTATGCATAGCATTACGGGCTGGCTTAAAATTAACTTAAGATTAACTAAGCAATGATGAAATCAGTGATAAAACATTAATGTAAACAGGTTACTATAAAGCACAAGTGAGTATTACAAAGACAGGTCATATGGTTGTATGCATTGTTGTACATTCAGTAGAATGGAGTATTCTGTTAGGTAGTGTATTTAAAAAATAATAAAGTTAGATTGGGTTTTAGGTTTAACATTTTGTGATATAAATTTTTTTAGAAAAAATTTTAAAATATACAATTTATAAGGTTCAGTTATTCAGTTTTATTTGGTTTTGGGTGAGTAAGTGATCTTTGAGAAGAGACTTGAATTTATAAACAGGTAGTGTTTCTTTTATATTTACAGGTAATGAATTCCAGATTTTAGGGCCTTTTATGTGCATTGAGTTTTTTTCATAGTGTGGAGAGGGACACGAGGAACATCAAAGAGTGATCTGTGCCTTGTGTTATGGTCATGTGTTCTTTTGAGGTTGGCAAGGAGATGTTTGAGGGGAGGGTTAATATCAGAGTTAAGTGTTCCCATGTATGTAATAGGGCAGTAGTAATTGGGTTTTGTAGGTAGGATTTTTAGTGTTTTGAATATTGGTGGAGGTGCTGCCTATAGTGAGAATTTGTTTCATTCAAACGCACCCTTTTGTTGGGTAATTAGTGGTCTGAGAGGTTTTACTTGTTGTTGAGCCCCATGCACAAATTCCATAGGTGAGATAGGGGTAAATAAAGAGTGTTTTATAGGGCCAGGAGGGCTGGTGGACATAGTCCTATTTTCGATAGTTGCCTAATCTTGGAAATTTTTTAAAATTTGTTGTATATGTGTATAAAATTTGAGTCATTTAAAGGGTGGTTCCAAGAATTTTCCCCCTTGTACTTTGGTAGGTGATCCTTTTAATCATTATGTTAAGAGGGACATCTTAGCTCTGTTACCAAACTGAATGAAGTGGGTTTTTTAAATTTTTATGAAAGTTTTTATTCTCATCCGGGTAAATTTTCTGTAATTCGTTTTTTACAGTTTTTGGCTAGCGTGACTGGGCCGGGTGGGAAAGTATGTGTGTCATTGCAAAAGGGGTGGGTTTAGAAATTTCAAGATTTGGTGTCATTTAGTATAGGAAAAAGAGAGAGGGCAAGGACATTTCCCTGGGGAACCAAACTGAATTGGTTGTGCGAGGATTTGCCCATTTGCATAACATATTGGCTTCTTTTGCTGAGGTATGACTTGGGTATTGGGGGGATCCCCCTCTTATACCTAGTGTGACAATTTTACGTGGACAAGTCATGGTCAACTGTATCAAAATTTCGTAATCAATGAAGACCCCCGTGGGACTTCTTTTTTTTTATTGCAGGTATAATTTCTAGCTGTGTATAATCACATTAGTATTTTTATTAGGCCCTGAACCCAAAAATTGGCGGGGGTTGAGTTGTTTTGGGAGATAAGGTAAGAGTAATTCGTTTATAAATTTAATTTTTGAAGTTTTTGAAGGGGGTTTAAGTTGGATAGGGCCTAAGTTATTAAACTTGTTTGGTCTCCTCCTTTTTGTGGATCGGGGTGACCCTGCTTTTTTGGGGTCTTGGGGGAAGGTAGGATTAAAGGGATTTTTTAAAAAGAGTGTTGCAATGTTTGGGTGATACCTTTGTGACACTTTTTTTTTATATAAAGGGGGTAAGGAATTAAACTCCTCCCTTGTTTTTTAGTGTGTTGATAAAAGGGAGACTTCTTAGGGGTTGGGTGGAGCGGGAAACAGTTTTTTCGGGTAGTTGCCGGTGGGTAGTCATTTGGGGGGGTATCTGAGTTTGGGATTTTTTGGCAAGGGTTTTTGTCCATATGGGAAAAATATTGATTTTTTGCTGTTTTGTTGGGGAGTTGGGGTTCAGTTTTTGCAATTTTTTTTTCCTATTTGGGATATCTTTTTTGTTCCCTTGAATTTCTGTGGGTTTTTCCAGGTCTTTTTTATATCACCTCTAAGTTTTGGGTAATTTTCCATAATCAATTTTTTTGCCCTTCTTTTCAGGCTGGTTTTGGGTTGCAGTAACGGGGCCTGGGTTAATGACCCCTTTGTCTGTTTTTTTTAATTGGGGTTTTGTATTTTTTGGATTTTTAGAATGCTGGGGGTTACCAGGGGCTGTTCAGTTTTTAGCTGTCATGTTTTTGTTTTTTAGGGCATGCTTTTTAGAGGGATTTGGGGGTTTTTTAAAAAATTTTTAATACATTCGTCAATATCGTATAGAATTTTTTAGTCAGTGTGCCATTCAAGTTTGCTACTGCGTTTAAGTTATTAAAGGCTCCTCATTGTAAATCTGAAGGTGACTTTTGAGTGTCTTGGGGGGAAATTTACCAAGAGTTGTTATAGGAAAGTCGGGTAGTGGTTGTGGTATTATTTAATTTTGCCGATTTTAAAGGGGAAAGGGTTTGGTCCAGAGTGGTCAAGTAGGGAACACTAGTCCCTGTAACTCTTGTAGGTTTTGTTACTGTTGGGAGCAACATACGTTATCATTGTGTTTTGAATTCAGTAACGTGTGGGTCCCTGGCTTGCGGGGGATTTAATTTAAGTCACCCGAAGTAGTAAATGATCTTGTTCATGCGTGCACAGTTTTCAACTTCCTAGGTTTTTTCAATTTCATTAACCCTCCGTGATATTTTTTTTTAAAATTATATAATAAACACGATCATAACATAAATACATAACAATGTGTAGAGAACCTGGGTAACCCCAAAAAAAACAGAGTGACTTACTTTTATTGCCTTCACTCAGAGCATCATTTCTTCCAAAATGAGTTACAGAGAATGGGAGTGTTCTTCTTTTTTTTATTTAAACGTATCAATGTAGAGATAACCTGTACACAATGTAACTTGTACACAAAACCCGACGTGACATGTTTGTTTACAAAAATTACCTTCGCCTGGTTTTTTTAAAAACTCGCGCCTGTTCCCCCCCTCAGCACCATTATTTCTCTCTGGTATGGTACCCCCGGGTGACACCTACATACCACACTTGATTTTTTTTCAAAAAATACTACTCATCTCACCCCAGATTGACTATAAAATTTTAAGGTAAGTAAAAGGGCACTATTGTGTATTACATTTTTTATCGCTCTGGGATGCTTAATTATAGAATATATGTTTGGGGGGGCCTGGTAAGGTGCCTGGGTGACTACCATACATACCACACTTGTTTTTACAATAAATTTCTACTTTTTCCCCCCTAG